AACGTAATTTACAATTCTATTGGTATTAACAATTGCATTAATTTAATTTCTTGTTACGTAAATCCTGTACAAAAAAGTTATTCGTTCGACATATTGTAAAACGCGTTAAGATCGCAATACGTTGCACTTTATCGGCTGTAATCTTTCGTAGTTATAAATATTTGATAACTCCAGCGAGTTGAGTGCTGCGTTGGTCTTAAAGGACTTTTGAGAATTTTTATCAAGACGCCGTACTTGTTTCAGCAAAGACGCTTTAAAAGTTTTAGGGCTGTCGATGAATTTTATGCCGCGAACTTCCTCTTACGCGTGATACTATCATCCTCCTACCTTGTTAAATCTTTAATACTGTACTTTGGTAGTACTTGTATAAAACAACCATAGCGAATTATGATATTTAATAACGTCGCGATACGCTATTCATAAACATGGATTGAAAATGTTGTAAATCTTTCAAACTAACGTAACATCGTGACAAGAAGTAAAATGTTTTTATAAATTTCGATCGCGAGACAAGCCGAGCAACTCGATGACAGCCAGGAGCGAACAGGAGGAAAGATTCTCGGGATGAGCAGCAAGAGGAAGCAAGGGAAAGAAAAGGGTCGGGGAAATTTGTGCCGCGGGTCACCGGCATAAAAATATGGATTTTCCGTGTCAACGAGTCAGCTTTGCGTCTTCCAAACGCATCGCCGTGACCTTTTTCGCGCTTCCAACAGCCCGTGCTCCGAGGAACACGGATACGCGTAATCCGAGATCCAATCTCCGATGTTTATTCCGTCAAACGAATCGGAAAGCCCCGCCGACGGAGGGTATTACCGTTTTCAATTGTTCGAATGACTCTGTCCTCTACAAACCCCTACACGGCCACCCCCTCTCGTACGTCACCGTCGCGTAGCGTCGCGTCGCCTCGCGTCGTCTTATTTGTACGCGTTCGCAACGATAAAACGAACGATCCACCGAGAGGATTGATACACTCACGGTCGGAGATGGAATCGAATCGACAGTTTTTTCTCTTGTTCTTTTCAATATTCTTCATAACGTGTATCACGCGGTTAGGCACATCCGATCGATTCGCAATAAAGGGGCTCGATATCCGTCGATGTTCTCGATACGCGAAATGAAACGCACTGGAAATTTGCATTTACGTTCGCAACGGTGGAAAAGTATTAAGGTGGTTCGGAAAATATTGCGTATTTCAGTCCCTTTGCTTTCTATCTGCTTTACCATCTGGACTGTTATTAAATTCAGAGTGGACCACGCAACTAGTGCAACTCTATAATTTCCAAAATAAGCGTTACACGAAAAAATAAATTTCCTCGGTGTTTCGAGGCACTCCGAGTGCAAAAATACCGGTTAGAAAATTCCGTGTGCACGCGTGTTTCAGCACATATTGCGTATTTTACTCTATAGCATAGTTTATTCTATATCGAATACTGGAAAAAGTTCGTTCGGTTTTCCTGCATCGTAAAACGAGCAACGACCGAAAACCACCGTGCCTCTTTATTAATTCGGATAACAAATGTCCACCGAATACGTTAAATGGACGAATAATTAATCTCGTGTAATTATTTAAATTCATTTCGGTAACAAAGGAAACGCGTTACACACGCGTCTCCAAACACGAAACAAATGATACGACAGTAACTGAAATCTGGATTCCAAAAGTAAAAAGTTCCTTTTGTTACGGTAATCGATACCTGATAAACCATTGTATCATTATCCTTGAATTTACGTTAAATGTATATCCTAACAATTATCAAGCAATAGTAATAATTATTTGCTAAATACGGTAACAGCATTTCCTTCATTTCACGACAGCACGTTGATTTCATGAAATTAAAAACTACTCCGCAGAAATAAAATCCATTAATCATACTTAAAAAATCCTTTGTCGTCGATATGAAACTGGAAAATACGAACGGTGAAATGAGAACATACGCGTGTCATTAAACCGAGAAATACTCCACAGTCCTTAAAATCGGATTTAAAATATTCAAGTATAATTCTACAAGAGCATTGGCATACGCTTTTATTTAATATAGTATAGTGGAAGGTAATCTATATGAATCACATTCTCGATTTTGTAACGATTTAAAATTAATATAATAAATGAATCGTTAAAATGAAATATTTTCTAAAACAAATTAGAACAAGCACGATAATCAGTTATACGTATATTAACCGTCGTATAGTAAAAAATAAATGCACACATGGTCGGTCTCCCTATGTTTCTATAACGTATTTTCATAATTGTACCTCATTACTTTTAATTGTTCTCATCCTCGTTCTACATTAATACCGTCATATTTCTACCGAATGTTTAAAAACTCTCAAAGTATTTGTTAATTATAAGTAATTATTAAAACAAGTAACTTCCTGTACAATATTTGTTTAAAGTGATAATTAAAAGTTAATGTTCGGGATTGTGAAAATAAAAGGAAGGAAGGAATCCGTGCTCGTTCGAATCTCGACGGAATATCTAGGAATTCAATTTCTGTTATCTGAGAAAACACTAAAACCTGGCCAAGCCACCCTCCGTTTCCACTTGGTCCCTTTTATCGTCTTATTTGCGATCAGCTACCCACTTCGGTTCGACAATCTCAGATGGGTTGCCTAACTGTTCGGTCTGATCTTGACTCCCTTACTCCACTTAAGAGTAACTTCTCCCGTGAGTCGTCAAGTATTAATGAGACGATGGATAACGAACATGGACGGTTCAGAGGTATCAAGCTGACATCGTTCCATTTACGTCACAGACACGGAATCGCGCAATTATGGTGGTCGTCGATAGTTCAGAACGAATATATGTATACGAAAATGTTTGCGCCTCGAACGATTCGTCGAATCATTAAAATTGTAAAAGTTACGCGTAAATGATGCAATATTTGCAGGCTCTGCGTTCAAATCAAATAAATCCAATTAAACGGATCGATGCCCTGGGACCTTTTATTTCGTGTGATCGAAATAATTAGAGAAAATTTTGGAAAGGGGACGTTGCGTACGGAAGAAAGTGCACGCGTGTGAATATCAGATTATCGGCCCCTCGCCTATACGCGTTCGTACAAATTCATTAACATCAATGTTGCTTTGTGTAATTGTTATTTCACCGACGATCTAGGTCAACGGTCGCTCGTGTATCTTTTTCTATTTATTGTAATCCCGATAAAAAGAAATAAAAAACTATAAAATTAAGTATGCAAAGAATTTGTAAAAGAGTCTGTTACGCGGAAAATTCGTTCTCGGTTCGTACGAAGGTAATAAAATAGTAGAGGCACCGTGAAAAGTTTTGGAGGTATTCGGGAAAGAAATCGGACGTAACGAGCTCTAAAATTCGATTACACGAGACAGCTTCCGAATTGAGATTTGACTCGAGGATCAGATTTTCGACCCGGGGCCGAGTCGCCTCGATTAGATCCCGGGAAAATTCCTATCTAAACGATATTTTGTACGGGAAGGGTTGGCGCGAGCAACGGTGCATGCCAAAACTGCATAAAATAGCTGTTCTCCGTATTTCGTGGCATCCAGAGGGCGATAAAATATTCTCCGGAGTACACTTTGCACGGAATTTCATTCGTCTGAGAGCTCGTACGTATTACGCGCGTAATATACCAAAGGGAGTCGTTGTTGCATCTGACAGTCCGCTCGCGCGAGTACGCGAGTACGCGAGTACGCGAGTTTCGAAAATACTGTCCGAACCATCGAGCAATTCCTATTAGAACACCACGAAACGTTAAACATCTTGACACGTTGATCCTTGTACAATTTACGACATTTCAACGAAAGGTTTTGGCCGCGATACAGAGTGCAATATTCTTTCTTTCATTCACCTGTATCGATCGATCGATCGATCGATCGATTACGCTTAGGCGACGGAAAACAATGAAACGTGCCTGAAAATGTCTTGATTTATTATCGAATCGCGATATTAAATTGATGAGAATACCGATGGCCCAGTTTTGCGATAATTAGTCGAGGCATCTCGGCCTCGAGTCGTTAATTCGTTGGCCAATAATGCGGATGAAAAATTTATACAAGTTCGACACCCGCGCAGTGGCGTTCCGTTATTCGGGTTACTTTCGACAAACGACGGAAATTCGAACGGTTTCGTCGGTTACAAAGGCAAAATTGCACGACCATCCAAACAGAATATTGTTTGACATCGTGAACATCGTATTCGAATGACAAAGTACCGAGTTAACGGCGCGAAACTTCGTGTTTATTGTTACGTAATCGATCACATTCACCCACCTTTGCTCCGTTGTAATTAACAAATACAATGTTGGAATCGTTTTCTATTATTCACTTTGTTTCTCCAAAGAATAATTACCAAGTATAAATGCGGGGAAATTAAAAATAAGAACTTGGAAATTTTAAACGAAACACGATTATTCGATATTTGTTATGGCGGAAAATGACAATTGCATTTTTATTTTGTGATTTCCGTTTCGTTCGAATGAAAAAGAAATTTAAAGTAGAATAACTGAAATACTTTAGAAATGATTTATGTACGCGACGAAACTATTAACCGTACAATTGTTCGAATAAAAATATAATGTGAATCGTAAACTTATACTTCGATATAAAGCTCGAGTTTCTGAGAGCAACAGGCTCAAGTATCAATTGTCACTTTCGTACTTGTTCGATTCTACCCGAAAGACTCTCAAGTGAAATTTTCTAGCAATTAAATCACACCTCGACTATATAAACTTTCATACGAAACAAACATTTCCACAAACTGCCAATACACTTGTCGCGTTTTAAAAAATTCCAACATTTGTTTCATTAAAAAACATTCGCGTTCAATTTGTAGGCTAAAACGAACTTGGCATTTTTTTGGATCAGTTTCCATAAAACGTGTATGTCGCAAGTATACAACGAGCCACAGAAAAACAAAACGTGCGTCACTGAACGGCCTTTAACGGACTACCGATGAATGGTTCGATCTTTTAACGACATTCCCTTCGCGACGATTAAAATTCAGTGAATCTGATCCGTTTACTCACCGAACGAAAGGCCAAGTCCGACGAAAAGCGAAACAACACAAAGGACCCACGGAAAGCTTGCACTTTTCTTAGTACACATGGCGCGCGGTATGCACTCTTATCAGCCGTTTTCAAACACCCGTGCCGTATCGCGCGGCCACTCGCGTGGCTCTGAGAGTTCCTCGTTAGATTTCGAGTTTGAATCTCGGTCTTTCTCTGTCTTTCGTTCTTCCTCCCGCGCGCAGCCACCGAAAGCGGTCCAGCGCCTGCCCGCTGACAATATCATGCTTCAACTTCTCCTCGTACGTGGCACCACTTTCCAGATCATTCCTACAACTCGCACGCGATAAAACAGGTCACGGGATAAACGAGCAGTATTCAATTCACTTTAGAAATTTCTATAAACAACTACCTGGACAATCAGCTACCGTTAATTACTCTATGACGCATAAAAAATTGATAGATAACGTTACATAACTGACCATTAACGAGATTTAGAGATTCCTTTCGCACCGACGTCGATAAAACAGATAGCTTCAACACAGCTACCGTTTACATCACAAATTGGTAACACGATAATATTTGTAACCACAGACGAAGTATACGAATAAACCTATCACCTGATGTATTTCTTCGGCCCGTTTCTAACAGATTTCAAAAAGGAACACAAGAGGAAGTGAGACAGAAAACGAACGTGTGGAACTACAAGAAGAACGCAGCCATTAGCTCATATTATTTGCTATTAATTAATAGAATTATTAATTACATAGTAAATAATATGACCCGGGTATCACCACGAGAAGGTTGGCTGCGTATGGAGACCCGCCCTAGCCTCGCCCCAACCACCCTTCCTTTGGCGAGGAATTCGAATACCTATCTAAGGGAGAAGCTATCGAAAAGTTAGAAACGAGCCAGAAAAGGAGCGTTCTTAAAAGAACTGCCCGATCGAAAGACGAAGAACCTAACAAAATGTCAACACACGTGAGAAGATACACATGTTTTCTAGAAACGAAATTGGAACGTGCAACTGCACGTACGAACTCTGACGAAGAGATCGAAAACCTAACAAAATGTTGATACATGTGAGATAATCCAGCACATGTTTTCTTTCAAACGAAATTGGAATGTACAACTGCACGTATGGACCTTGCATATCAGAATACTAATATGTACCCTAATATTAATCATTCCCACTTAAATTTACGCACACGTTTCAGTAGTATTTAATCGAACGCTGGAGAACGCTTTTTTATCTTATAATCTATATACATTTTTACTTATATTCTAACGCAATCTGTGGAAACGAAGAAATACGAGGAAATATTTTCTTCTTGGTGTCTTTGTTAATCCCACGATGTTTCCCTAAAACATAAATCAGACGATAAATAGAATTTTATGAAATTACTTCTCTAAGAACGATCAAGATGGAATCCGTGTACCATTTCCAATTCGATTCTTCGATGATTATATATTCTGTAACAAGAACTTGTTCAAACGATTAACAGCTGAAATGAAAGTGTATTAATGAACACAGAAAAAAATAACTATAGACTAATGTAAATTGACATTAAAATGTTTAAAAACAAAAATATTACGTGAACTTGAAAGAAAAATGAAATTCGTCTCAGTGTTAAGATAAGTAGATTTTATTTTTCGTTTCGATTATCAAATAAAAAATTTGTCAAGACGTATAAATTGCAATAATTACATTTTACTGTATCGAAAACTAAATTAGGTTCGTAAAGAAAAAGCAATAACGAACAAAAAAATATCGATTCTACGCGGAAATGAACTCTCAATATGAAATATCGAATTGCAATTTGCATATCCTTTCGATACAAGCATTCTATTTTCCATCGATTAAAACAATGATCGCGAACAAACTTTGATTTATGCAAAGAATACAGAATATTTATAAAAAATTCACTATTTATAAATAACAATTGAGTTGCAACGGTTATTATATCCCGTACAAATTACCAACTCTAATAATGAATAATTAGTGATATAGATATATAGATTGGAATCATAAATTCAATCTACAACAAGATTAATCATAATATATTTAACGCGTTATAAAGAATAAAACAATTTGTCTATTTACAGCAGTACTTTCAAAGCAGTATTTCCTTTGGCAAATATATAAAGAAAAGATATATTTTAAATTAAGGTCCACTCGTGTTAAATTCAAACAACCCGTGAGTGGACCATTCTTTCTTTCGCAACGCTAAATTATATAATAAAAAACTATACGCGAATGGTGCTTGTTATTCGTGAAATGAACCACGCAGGGTTCCTTTATTAATTAAATCGCGTGCACCCATATTCAATCATGCGCAACACTAATTTTAATAACGACGTTGAGCCATTCGAGGCTTTGCAGATCTCAGCTTGCTTCTTCTTGATCCTTGGTGCAATGGCCAGCGTTTTGGCCAGCGTTTTGGCCAGCATTTGGGCATTGAATCGCAACTCTACTTAATAAAAAACGCGACAAGTCAAGATCGCAACGCTAATTTATAATATAAAAATTCCAAACGCGATTTCTAACAATAAAAGCAACCGCGAATGGTGATTGTTCGCAACACTACCCTGAAAAGTAAACGCGAAAAATAGTAATTCGCAACGCTAAGAGCAAACCGATCGGTTAATTCGCAATGCTATTCTTAAATAACGATAAAAGCAATCGCGTATGGAATTCGCAACGCTACCCTGAAAAGGAAACGCGAAAAATAGGAATTCGCAACTCTACGAGCAAACGCGATTATTCTATATTCGCGACTCTATCTTTAATGGAAATATATTTATGTATCGCAACGCTAATGCAAATCGCGTTTTGCCCAAAAATGCTGGATCGTGGCGTTGCAGAAAATAAACTAACTACTTCTAATTACTATTAACTACTGTAGAGTGGCTCATGTGGGGATGAAGTTAGACGTTTTAAATATCGCAACACTACGGGCCAACAACGCGATAAATCAACAATCGCAACGCTAATTTATAATAGAACAAATTCCAAACGCGACTTGTAAGAATAAAAGCAATCGCGAATGGTAATTGTTCGCAACTCTACCCTGAAAAGCAAACGCGAAAAATAGTGATTCGCAACTCTACGAGCAATCGCGTTTACTAAAAATTCGCAACGCTATTTTTAAAGCAAACGCCCGGTTCCTAGGTTTGCATAAAAACAATCGCGAATCGTGTTCAGTCGCAACTCTAACAGATCAACGCGATAAATATTTGTTCGCAACTCTACGAGCAAACGCGAACATTGTATATTATTCGCAACTCTAACTTTAATCAGGGGCTATTGGTACATGTGCATGCACATGTACTGGCCACTAAACTAACTACTACTAGTACTACAATTGGGGTAGAATTTGGGCATTGAAAATATCGCAACGCTAATTAAAAAATCGCACGATTAATCAAGATCGCAACGCTAATTTATAATATGAAAATTCCAAACGCGGTTGATGTCCATTATATGTGTAAAAGAGTAAAAAAGCAACGCGAATCGTGATTGTTCGCAACACTACCCTGAAAAGCAAACGCGAAAAATAGTATCTCGCAACTCTACGAGCAATCGCGTTTATCAATAATTCGCAACGCTATTTTTAAGCAAACATTCAGTACCTAAGTACTCAAGCAAAAAAGCAATCGCGTATCGTGTTTAGTCGCAACGCTACCCTGAAAAGTCAACGCGAAAAATAAGAGTTCGCAACTCTAAAAGCAAACGCGATTATTGCATATTCGCAACTCTATGTACATCATAACCGCGGGTTATGGGGAGAGATGGCTGGCATGTATGGTGCAATCATGTACGAAGTACATGCATACGTGAGCCAGCCAGAAAAATAAACTAACTACAACTACAGACGAGTTAAGTGATAAAGTAGTAACAGGAATGACTTTCCATTCTCATCCGAGGATGAAAATGAAAAGCCATTTGTTGCAGCCCACTCTTGAAACAGTTTGTCAGGGCCTCTTCGGCTCATATAGAGCCTTTTCTTTCTTCGGCGGTCCTGCCGATGCCTGAAACTTACTTAAAACAGGGCTCGAGATTTTGTGCAATACGTAGTCTTACAACAATATACGAATTGTTGCAAGAGCATACGTGGTGAATCTCGAGGGGGACGAACGTTTCGAAAGGGACCTGATCACGACCGCGAGCGCAAGCGCGAGAGAGCGACTTTAAGAGTCGCGCGATTCGAGGAGTCGAAAATAAAGCCGAAACAAACAGCACATGTACACCGTTTGAACCAGCAAAATTTCTACTCTCGAAATCGTAACTACAGGAACAGAACTGCCACGCGAAAACGCGCCTACCCGAATTACTAATGTGGACAGTCCTGCCCTGACCCTACCTACTTACTTAGATTAAGCACACACACACCAGAGAAAAAGTTACCTACCTACCTAAACCTATATTTAAAAAATTGCAAAACTCATTCTCGCAAACAAACACTCCACGGTTCTCACGCATAATATTCGGGCGCGACCTAAACTAGAGAGGATTCCCCGGGGTTCCTCCGACACCCGAATATTGCAAACATTCACACTCTAATTGTGCACTTACTAGTTTCTGGCGGACTGACAAAGGCTAGTGATCTTTGCGTTCTTATATTATATAGATAAACGTTTCTATAGAACGTTTCAATATATGGAATATAGTCTTTAATAAAATCTATTGCATAAATGTATCATTGAAGATTGAAAAATATTCAGATTTAAATCCATTAAGATCAACAGTTTTCAAATAAATGATAAATTGAAATTTGATATTATTATTGATAAAAATCTAACGTTATAAAATTCTATATGTAAATTGCAATCATAAAACATCTGAAACGACGCACTTCCACAACCTAACCACACACACACACACACATGTGGAGAGTACGTCGCGCACGATTCACTAGCCAATGTCAGTCGTCGATATGTCGTTGAATTGTTATAAATAAATTCATCGTGCCCCGTTGCCTTCGCTCATGCAAATAGCACCTGGGCATGTGCATGAACTTAGGCAACGAACACGGAAAAATTACTCTGAAAATCCTGACTAGAAAAACTGGTTAATAGCTAAACGGTATTTCGTATCTAATTTTTAGTTCAAATGACTCGACTTGTTCTATGTAATATATCAATAATAAAATATGTTAATATTGAAAACTACTACTATTCGATGAAACTATTATAATTGAAATTGAATTATTTAAAATGAATGACTCTACTTGAGATTTCATGATAAAAGAATTTACTTTAAAAATTGAAATGAATACAATAAATTGTTAATAAAAATATTCAACTATCCTTGATCGATTCTGTCGTCAAAGTAAATTTTTTAAAAGATGAAACTAGTATAAAATACATGTTACTTTGACTAAAAAATCGACCTGTCGCGAAATGCCTTCTTGCACGTTAAATACATCATACGATGTATTAATTAAGTAAACGATCAATAGTTATGAATTTATATTAATACTGTAAATATTGTTGTACAGTGTCATATTAATTATCATTCATATTCTACGCGATCATATGATAAATATAATATTTTCACATTATATTTATTCATTTTCTATTCAATCATATAACTGTGTTATATTCATTTGTAATATTAAGAAACGCGAGTGCAAGAAGACCCTAAAACCTGCTCTAAAAAATATAACAGATGATGTTACTATTCACACTTAACTCGTCAAAAATAACAAGTATACAACTGGTCACCCGTGTTGATTCGGATCTTTCATCCTACAACATGGTTGGGGACCAGAGGAAACAAAATAGCATGCGACTTACCAGTGATGAGACTTGAAGCCCCCGAAGTCATCCATCGGTCAGCATGGTCCTGCTGGTAAGATTCAGGTCCAGAGACTGTAACAAAAATGCAAAAAAACAATTAGAATCTATCGTTAAAATTATAGAGATTTTTAATTAATAAATTTCAAAGTATAAATTTATACTTACGTTGTTCGGTCGTGGTCCACCGCCCGATACTCCCCGAGTACTGCTACTCGTTCCCAGGATCATGTTCCGAATCTGTAAGAAAACTGTAAGAAAACAATTAGAATCTATTGTTAAAACTGTAAAGATTTTTAATTAAAAATTCCAAAGTATAAATTTATACCTACATTGTTTGCTCGTGGAGCATCGCCAAATAATCCTCTTCGGTGATGCACCGACTCTAATTCCGGTAACGAGGAGTTTAAATTTCAAATTGAAAAAATAATTAATTTGATTGGAAAATATTAAATTAGAATACCGCGACCGAAGATTTAAATCGGCGAACAAATGATTCTACTATCGCGATTCGGAAAACAGAAAGAGCCACGATGCTCTGTAAGTAATTTAATATTGCGTAGAAAACACTGCTTCTATTCTCGCGTTTGTCTAACACCGTGAACGATAACGTGCTTGGGGTCACTTTGGCCCGAAAAACAAACTTGTTGCTACGCTCGATCACTGACTCTACCGGCCGCATTGCGCGCGGCCAACAAATTTCCTGGAAAGAAAAGACCTGAAAAGAAAGGGACAGGAGACAAGAAATACAACAAGCACATCTGTGCTTAGCCTATCGATTTTTGTTTTTCTTCTTACTAGAATTCGACAACGAAAACACTGCTTTGCTTAGTACTGCTGTATACATAGTTTATCCCGTACAAAATCAATGCCACGAAGGCGAAATATTCTCATTCAATGAGAATTTCAACGACAAAATATTACCTACGGAAATAATTATTTAATCTACAAATATTATATCACTAAATTTCATAATTAGAGTTGCAAGCATGATCATGTTTACTTTACCGAACGTTAGAATATCTCGTAATTTTTATAAATATTCCGAAATTTGCAAGAATTAAAGTTTGCTAGTTATTTATGCCTGAATAGCATATTTCAACTCCGCAGTTACTACGTTTTATGAAACTTGTATCGAAATATATGTATATGCAAATTGCAATTACGACGATTCGTAAAGAAATCTAAAGAATCAATTAAATAAATAACAGTCGGAAATATTCAATCGCGATCAAAATACAGTCTAATATAAACTATTCCAATGTATCGTTAATATCTACCGACGCCATTTTTGTATACTTCGATATGTATCGAAGTAGATAAAATGTTTGTTACCGATTTTAATACTTTATCTTAACAATGACCGATCAGAAAATTAAGAACATGCTTACAACGAATAACGTAATAAAGCTACGATAAAAATGTACAAATATTAATATGAATGTTAATTTTTGTTATAATTGTTTAAACGTTACCAATAATGTTACCAATATTCTCTTCAAAATTTGTCGACTGGTCTGCCATCTGTTATGGCGTCCTTTACGCGCCAATAAAATTTTCCATGGCGTCGAATTTCAATCAGAGACTGCAACAGAAATAATATAGAAATAAAATCATAATTAAACAATGACTGATTATAATTAGGAAATAGGAAAAGGTTAGAAATACATACTTCGTTGGTCGCGAAACGCCGACACGTCTTGACAGGTTTCGACAGGTTTCGACAAGTCTTCTTAATTTCGAATTCCAATGGGAGACTGTAACAGAAACGAAATAACGATGCATTAAAGTACAGAAACGATGATTATCGAAACAGTATTGCAAGAGATTGTAATTAAAATATGAGTAGAATAGTGGAAAGATCAACAGGTTAGAAATACGCACCTCGGTCGCGGAGCACCGCTACGTCTTGACGTCAAAGTCGGAATGATGGCCGCCGGCTGTGCTCGGCAACGCTCGGGAATTAGGCGGCGGGGTGGGGAAGCTCCGATGTCTCCCGAAGCTTGTTTACGAACCCGAGGGATACCTCGGGTAGAAACCGCGGATAGACTGATTTTTTGCAAATTATTTACAACTTTAACTAGTCAAGGAATCGCGAATAATTCGTACTTTTAAACTCGTATGCATTTACATGCAACAAGGTTGCTGCCTATCGCACTAATTCAGTGAGTTTCTCAACTGACCGCTATCCATGAGAAGAGGCCGGTAAAATCACCTCCAAATTTTCAGGTCGGTATGACCGACGGGAATTAGAGCTCATGGTTACCTACAAAACAAATATTGGACAACTTTTCTATAGGGCATCGAACAAAATTACTGAAAATGAAAAATGAATTTTTAAGAAAAATCGACAGGAGGTAGGTGCTTAAATTTTTCGACGAAAAAAAAATTTTAAATCGATCTGAACAAAATTATTTCCTCTTGTGTTAAATTCTTTAACCTGTTGGTAATGTTGCGAGTGACACGAAAATGGTAATGGGGCTCTAGAGCCTTGTTAAAATGGGCTGAAAAAATACATTGAATGTAAGGGTCCTTACGTATACCTCGTCTGCGTTAATATTAATCACAGGATATTAACAGAATGTTACATTTGCACAGAATAATTCTCAGTAAAACTACTGCTTTTGCTTAAACTTATACGTATAATTGAAATAGAATTGTATTATACCATTAATAACTCGAAAAAGGATCATTTCCACCAGTTAAAAACATACATTTTTAATTATACTCGTTAAGTGTTGCAAGATGATATAAAAGAAGTCGAAAATTTTACGTCCACCAAAACGAAAGTCAGCCAAATATGTATACTTCTAAGTATAATGTTCGCAGTTTATGTAGGACGTAGTTTCCCTGTTATTGCTTTAAACAAAACATAAGTAAGAGGTCGTTAATGGGGATTCGATCAGTAATGGTAACATGATATACAATCAAACGTAGTTGATTTTAATACATTGTATATTAAACCTCGTGTAGAATGTAGCCTACGATGCAGCCTTGTTGCGCGTAAATGCATACGAGTTGAAAAGTACGAATTATTCGCGATTCCTTGACTAGTTCAAGTAGCCTAGTCATTGTGAAATGATAAAAGGTACATATTAGTGCAACGCGGGCACAAGAGTATAATGGTACAGCAGTGCATGTTGCCAACAGTTGCATGTAAACTATGATATTTAGCTTGCGGATTCACGTTTGTTAGAACACCTTTCTTAATTTCAAATTATCTAACGCGTTACGCGGTATTAGCGTGTAAGAAATAGTATGATCGTCGTCATAGGAGCTCGAGCTATTTAAATGCGACGATAGTGCTACAGGCCTTTCAAGGCCTTAAAAAAAGGCGTAACATTTCCAGGCGAACCACCAGGATTTAACGACCTTCTAGCATCGTGAACGTGGACGCAGGTCCGATTGTCTATTATCAACTATCGTGTCCGGCTAACGCAATCGGCTGGAATCGCCAGTTCGCATCGATCCGCGGAAACGTTCCCGGAATCCCGTGATTACCGATATCGGAAAGAAAGGAAAACACTCTCTCCAGAGGGAGTTCCACGGTCGTAGACATCGCGTTGTCCTCGTCCGTGACGCGACCTAACTTTGGTACAGGCGTTTTGGTATCGATCACCAGCTAGTGCTCTCGACGACGACGCAAGCTCAACTCGAAACGAGGATCCGTCGAGGTAGAGGGGCAGTTGTTATCCTCCCTCTCGCTACCGTTGGTTGCCCACTACCCTGCGCATCACCGTTTCCCCTACACCTTCTCGTTCTTTCTCTCGCATCCTCGCGGGAAGGAGGACGAGAAGCAGAAAAGATGAGCGATCAAGAGGATCTCGACTACTATATCATGTTCCCGTCGTTTCCGCCGTTCCCGAAGGATCCGACGTTGACCACCGGCGGTCAGAATCAACGCGAGGAGTTCGTGTTCGTCTACAAGGAAGACAAACGACCGGTAGTCGTGCTCCTAGGATGGGCTGGCTGTCAGGACAGATATCTGGCCAAGTACAGCGCAATATACGAGGAAAAAAGGTACTGAAATTATCCAAAACGGAATACTTTCGTCTATTTGCATCCAAGGCAGAAATTCGCGGTGAATCGAGCTACGACCGGATGTTTGCCTGCATTTTTCTAGCTAATTGTAGTAAACGGCGGATGTTGTAAGCTGTCGAGCGCTCGACGATCGGGATTCGCTTGCATGAGAACAATTTACGCATCGAAATCGAGTAAAATGGATTAGCTTCGTTCGCGCAAAACCAGTGGAACGGAATAGACGCAGCGAGTTGTGCCGGCAAATCGCACTATACCGTGATACCTATTTGCTTAATCAATAACAATTCAAACGCCGTGTGTAACGCTGGATTCCTACGACGCCTCGAATTTTCTAAAATTATTACCACTTGCCACTGTCTATCGACAACGTGAACGACGTAAGCTCTGAATATAAAGCGCCACGTATACCTAGGCAAACGCGTTCACGTTACTATACATATACAATGTAGAGTGTGCTAAAATTAATGATCCAAACTTTGGATACATATGGTACTCGTCAAAATAAGCGAAAAAGTGTTAGTATATACGGTAGGTGGGTCAAGAGATGAACAGTTTCCAAGTAGGAAGGAAAAGTTTTGTTTAGCGTGAGTAGGCGTTCCAAATATCTTACGCCCATTCCAAGAATCAAAATTTTTCCTTATTTCGCGGTAACCGAAAGATGACATAATAATAATTGCTACCAAAGAAGATTCTTATCTTAACTCTTATAATGACTCGTGACATAGTGACTCGGAAACTATTAAATTCTAAATTAACATTTACCAACACTGTTTTGCTTCTTTGAACGCTACTATACAATGTATGCATTCTTGAATGTATACGAACCTCGATGAAAAAACGTATCGACGCATGCATCAAAATACATTGAACGTTCGCTGTAATGAAATAAAATCGTTTGCTTAGTTTCCAAATTACAACTAGAAGCAAAGAAAAAAAAAAATGTATGCGTACCATTTATTTGTTACTTTTCACGAGTATTCCTTGAGATTGTTAAATTGTTTAGTAACGTTAACATAGAAAAATGATGTTCATTTTCTAAGCTGCATCACTTTGCGATATACGGCGCCGGTGGAATGCCTGTTCTGGCGAAGGGACAAGATGCCTTATATTGGGAAACGATTGATCCAGGTGATCACGGATAAGAGTCTGGATCAGCACCCGATATTTTTCCACGTATTCAGCAACGGCGGTGCATTTCTATATCAGCACGTAAGCCTCGCGATGCAGCAGGCTACCAAACCGATCAAAGTACGAAAATTCTTTTACATTTACAACCTTCGGAGAATTGTTATTCCATCGTTTGACGCGCATTTCGAAAATTACAGGTCAAAGGAGTGATATTTGACAGCGCGCCTGGCGAGAGAAGATTAACCGCGCTTTTCAGAGCGATCAGCGCTATCATCGGAGGACATCCGATTACAAACATACCCATGTCCTTCTTCATTACGATTTTCCTCTCTGTACTTTGGTTCCTCGAGGTACGAACATTTTTACAAACAAAAACAAACAAGTTTCAGGCAGAATCCGCGGTAAAATATCGACCAGATTTACTGAACAAATTAGCGGTTTTTCCAGAGAGCTGCTTATATAACGGAATCTAGTTATCAAACAGGAAATGTGAAATAGTTTATTCGATGAGATCTAGTACATTATGATTGCATCATTGGTTACGTAGTAAGAAAAATAAATATCATGAGAACTAACGCAAACAACGAAGAGGATATAGTAAATGTAAACCAAGTTGGCTTTCGCAATGGAAAAATAAACTTGAAGATGAATAAGCTTTTAGTGTTTGCGAGACTATAATTTCGAGTAAATAATTAAAAGTAACATTTTTTAACGGTATTCTTGAAACTTGTTCATTTTATTCTAAATAGTATTCCCAACACTTCTATGTAATAAAAATTGCAAATGTCGGACTTAAGAACAACGATGAACGGTTGAATAATTTATTGATATGAAAAAAATTTGTTCGATTAAAATAAAATACTGCCCGTTTAGATGGTCGCTCACGCGTTTGGACGTGGTTATCCAGTTCAGACGAATCCGATCGCTTTGGCAGAGGAAACCCATTCATGGCCCCAGCTGTTTCTTTACTCAAACGCTGACACTTTAATACCGGCATCGGTAAGTGATTTCGAAAACGATTAACGATAAAGTAAACTCTTGAGGGGTTACATTAGACTACTGCTGCGGTACTTGGTCTTTCAGTGTCCGTAACTGCACTACCTTTTTTCATTTTCTACATGCATATATTATAAGCAAGTAAATTAAGATATTAAAGACTCGAGCAAGACCTTTACCTGTTACGAAGCTTGGGTTTTTTGGCTTTGTAGGTGGGTATATCTGTTTGTAAATATATTGTTGTATGTGGGATTATTTGGAGTGGGTTCCGGGAGTTGAAACGTGTAAACTTTGACACCTGCTCGAGTTTACGACCTCGCTATATCGTGGCCCGGACTATAAGAAAATTTGAATTACTCGATATGCTCGTATTTCAAGGACGTCGAGAAGTTCGCCAGTCGACGAGCAGAACGTGGCGTACGAGTGCAGTTGGTGCTATTTACGAATTCACCGCACGTGAAGCATTATGCTACTTACCGTGACGTATACGTTAACACGGTTTGTAGCTTTATCCATGAATGCCTGACGTCTTCTGACTCAGAAAGTTTGGAATCACCTCAAGATCACGGCGAAGAAAATACCGGACGGAAATACGATGTTCTGCCGGGTCTTGCTAAAAGGGTTGTGCTACCTCACGAGGCCACCTAACGGCTAAATTAGAAAAAACATCGATCACAAATTAGCAACGCGGTCGGCAAGAGGGTCGTATTGTCGTGCAGTCTCGCGCGTGCGATCGCGAGCAACTGGACAAACTGGAATACTAAGAGGATCGACATATTCTTTCATTTCCTCTTTTTCACACTTGTACATCAGAATTCGTGAAATAAGTTTCTTAGACAGCGTTGAGTCTTGCTTACTCCATGCTTCCTCTATTATATTGTCACGCGATATGACAAAATACTTAAGTAGAATCTAATGCAAAATAAATTTTTATTATGATAATCATAACACCGGTTTGCTTTATCTACCTATGAATTACAATTTACCTATCATCGAAACAATTACTGTGAACAAAAAGAATTGCTTTATACCTGATAGTGTGACCATAATTATACATTCTATCCTATTCTTAGTACCTACTTATAGAGTTGGGCAAATATTCATTCATAATTAACGAATACAAATTTCACATACATCGTAAACTAATTTCCGTTTGCAGTTAATTCATTCGTAAATTAGAATCTAGATTTTTTAAACTGACATCAACTGACGAGCGAAGCTACAGGTAAAAGCTAGTTAACAAACGAATCGAAAACTTGTATTCGTTAGTCGCGAATAAAGTTTGCCCAGCTCTGTTTATAATTCATAGAATAGTATAATTTGTTTGATGTAACAAGACTCAACACTGATCAGCTAATATTGAAACTTTTGCATAAACTTTGGAGACCTTGATTCTCGACCTCTCTTTTCTTCAATTCTCCTCTTATACTTGTTCCATTTCTGCTTTCTATTTTCTTTGTATCTTCCAGTTTCTTCCCTCGTTGTGTGTCCTTGAACGTCGATGTACCTGAACTTGACAAGTCGATAGATTTACGTTCACGTCGCGAATAAACAGAGAACCGTACGTTCGATCGTGTGTATGTACAAATGTGCAGAAGAATTATTAGAAGACAAGGTGATGGCACACTACCGACAAACTAAATGATAACTGCACGACCCACCTAATCCCCTCCACATGTTTAGCTTGTAGGTAGTGTACTAACATTTCATCTCGCAATAGTACAATTCTGAATTTCCAATTGACAAACGACACAACGTTGCGATAAACTCTGAATCTCTTCATTTGGAATTATGTAATCTCGTATAGTGAGTTGATAAAGACTGTAGGTGCACTGACAGCGAATTATAAAAAAAAATTTAACAAGTTAGAAACCTAGACGCTTGATGATGCGATCTAAATGCGTGCAAGATAGATACGTCGATGATTAAAATCTGAAACTACGGTTCACAACGTTTAAGTATCGGCACAACAAGCTCGCACAAAAGAATCAAGCTGGTCTTGATTTGGCTTTCGATTTAATTGCGGCGTAATTAAATATCGACGAAACAGGAATTTTCTTGTATCTCTCCCTATCGGATAATGTTACATTTACATGCATATATATATTTTGATCTGTTAATTAGTTACAAATAAAGACTGATAAATATACATGCATCGTTACTTTTTTATAAATAATATATAGTTGATACCGAAATAACCGCCATCCCCCCTCCTCCTCTTTTGATGAAACTGCAGATCCAAAGAACTACCAAAAATAACTTTTTTATGAAAGATAACATGCTACATGCAAAATTTAAATTCGCATATAATCATAGTCGCTAGAATAACATTCCTTAAGATTTCCATAGCAGCCAACTTTTTTTCTAATTAAATCCCCCCATAAAACATTAGTATTGCAAACAGGACAAGTGCCTTCGATTGGTAAAATCATACTATTTTTGCAAAATATGTCTGCTAAGCAGATCAAGTGAGCTACCAATGGACAACTAGGTTTTATACAACTAACTAATTCTTTTTTTTTTAAAGACAGACTACATATAAAACAAAACATAGAAGATTCATTTCTATCATCTGTCTTTTTTACCTTTCGAGAAATCACTTTTCCATAACATGTAGGCATATGCATAGGAGCTGAAATATGACCGGAATATTCATTAAAAAATTCATAATCTAACCAACGTACTGTTAAGGGCAAACGACACCATGGCCCAACTTTCAACATTTCCGTTAACACTAATAAACAAAATTCAAACTTTTTCTGGTTCGACTTTTTTTTAGGCACATGTTTAAGACGCCGACTAACATGAGGATGTTGCCATGCCCATTCAAACTAAAAATAAAAATACATCGATTGCTATTACTTGATATAATATTAGGGCCAATTTCATGAATATTTTTAAAAAAAGTTCCGCGCAATACCAAATGTTTATATATAACTCTATATAGACATTTTAATTAATAAACTAGAGTTAGAAAAACATACCCTAAGTGCAGACGTACTATTTGGAAAACCATGAACTACCAATATCATTTCCCTAAGAATAAAAAGATTACATCCAATTTATAGAATTAATGCAGCAATAAAAATAATACCTTATGATCAGTTAATAAGTGTATACTCACCATGGTCCTTTGTTACTTGTTTTCCAAGCTCCGTTATGTTCTTTTCCAGCATTATGTTGCTTGATTCTACGTCGAGGATCAACCGTGTATCCTATATATGTTCTTCCTTTATATTTTGGATTTGTACAATATAGCAAATACACACCAAAAAAATGTTCTATTACTTTTGTATCGTCCATTTTACGGTTCACAACACATTCGCAAAAGACAAGTTTTATATTATTTATTAACTATGAAAATTAATTTAATGGATCAGCATTTCACGCAGCCAAACATTTATTTTGAATAGAAATGAACCTAACCTAACGTGAAACGATGGTTCCGAAGTTCTGAGTTCCGAGTTTCGGACACTTCCGGCCGACGTTCCGATGTTTCAACGTCCAATGAAACGCAACCATTGTAAAATAATTTCGTTTCCAAAGGAATGGTTATTAAAGAATAATTATTAAATATTGTATGATTGATATCAAAATTATGAAGTTCATAATTAAAATAATTGTAAGATTTAAATATTTAAAGAAATTAATTAAATACAGTAATAGTATGAGAATACACGCATACCTCTATAAAATTATGTATAAGCTTGAATGAATGCATTACCTATATTTATGATATACATATAATAATTATTACTTAAATGACGAAATCGATACATGTTTATTTTTAGATACTCTTTGGTTCTGATATGTTATTCAAAATATAGTATTCCAATAGCATGTTAAATAATTCAAGTAAGCGTCATATAAATATTATTAAAATTGTCCAGCTGTTTTGACCAATAATCAAAATTAAGCTTAAACCAGTGATGCAAAGAAATAAAAAGTTTGATCGCAATACGCAGGCGCTATGATACTGAAATTCACAAGTTTAATTGTCAAGAGAAGAGTATATGTATATGTATATGTATATCATACCAGTGCTCGCATAGTTTCCATGGTCGTAACTCTTCTTCCGTGTAGAAAGAAAAAGTCGCGAATGGAGATTATGAATAATAATAAATCAACATTAATCGGCGATTACACCGAGAGCTTAATCGAGAGCGCCGCGTGTTTAATTGTAACGTTATCGAAATTGAACTCTGATCTTGATTGGGCACAGACCAGCAGAGATCTCTGCACAAGGATCCAGTAAGAATGGCTGCCGTTTTCAGAAGATTCAGAACCGCACAGATCACGGTGATCGGCAATACTAAACTACTGTCATTGATTATCAGCCGGTAGGCGACCACCATGAGGAGCGCTCCTTTTTTCATATGTTTCGCGTATAAACTACGCGAGCCAGTCTAAGCGGCGGCTTTTTAGGGCAATAGCCACATCGTGTGTGTTGTAGATCTTTTGCAAGGTCATCGATCCGTCAGGATATCAGCGAAGGATGGATAAACAAGATTTTCGTACGAAAAATCGAGCCAACCAAAGAGTCACACTCGCGGATGCTGTCAGACAAAGGAGTTATTTACGCTTTGCATACACACAATATCCGACCTGACTCCATTGACAATTACGTGGCCAATTAGTGAGTGCATCTATGAGTTTTTTTATTTTTTTTTTTATTCACAGTTCCTTTCAGTATCAAACTGTTAATACATTTAAAATACCTGTAAAAAACTTTTTTTTTAAAGATTTTTTTACAATTTTAACAAAATATTAAATTTTATTTATGTCGCAAAATTAGCAAGTGCAGAGAATTCTTTTATAATAGGAAAATTATATTGGGACATGTTTGTATTTTCGGATATTACAGCAAAGAGATTGTTAACGTTATTAACTCCAAGAAGTCTGAATTAAAATTGGAACTGGTTGGTTCATGGACTGTCGTAGCCGGTGATATCGATCAAGCGTTACACCTTTGGCAATATACCGGTGGTTATGATAGCGTTGATCGCGCACAAATCGAATTGTCCAAGGACAAAGTATGATATAGTTGAAAAACTTATTTCTATACAATGGTACAAAATACAAATCTTATGACACGTTAATATTACTTTTAGGTATATCAACAGTTACTCAAAGAAAGTGGCAAATATTTACGATCTCGTTACTTGCAATATTTATTGGCATTTAGCTACTGGCCTACCCTTATAAAACGCGATGGTTCAAATATATATGAAATACGTAGTTATAGATTACAACCTGGCACAATGATAGAATGGGGCAATAATTGGGCAAAGGCTATTAATTATAGACGCAACAACAATGAACCTTTTGCTGGTTTCTTCTCACAGATTGGTCGATTGTATAATGTTCATCACATTTGGTGTAGGTATTAAATTAATGTTAAATCCCTTTCTCTTATAACTTGGATCTTAAAACTAATTTCGCATTCTATTAAACCAATGTTCATGTCTCGAAAGAAGAATATCCCAGCTTCGGACTGAAAATAAAATAATTGAAAATACATAAAGGTAAAAACTATTTCAATTTCAGGTTACAAAAATCTCCACGCGCGAATGGAAACTCGGGAGAGTGCATGGAGGTCTCCAGGATGGGATGAATGTGTTGCATATACTGTACCATTGATCAGAGAAACGCATTCCCGTATTTTAAGACCTACTAGCTTTTCACCGACAAAATAAAATTTTCCTCCGATAAATACATTTGTATATTACAACTTATTTCTTATGTCTATATGATGAAAACATTGTAAAAATATTTGTTATAATGCACATTACATTTATAATCGTGTAAAGTAAGCGCTCGATATGGAAACGGTCGTAGCATTTTATTGTATTACAGCTATTGAAATGTATTTTAATAAAATTTAAATTTCTTTGTTACTATAGTGCGTTTTTAATATAACATATCATTTATCAATTAAGCACAATATTTATATGTGGATAAATTTATATACTTGTCTGTTATATTTACCGATATTTCTGTTTTGCTTTATTAAAATCTACCATTCATTATTACGCTTGTATAATGATGTTAATTTTATTATCTATGATTTGGTATTAATAATTTATTTTTATTTAAGGCAATGTTTACAAAAGCTGAATAATTACATTTTGACAAAAATTTTAAAGGAAAATATTTTATAATAACAAAGAAATTGCTTTAAGAAATGGAAGGGTTAGAAAGTGCACATAATTAAACATCCTTCTTTTATTATCTAATCAATATATTAAAATTCAATTAATCTGAGCTGTTACTTCAAGCCTTCATTTAACTTGCAAAAAGTATATTACATTCTCTCTTCTTCAGTCATTAGTTAAAAAGAATGTACATTAGTCAGGTTAAAAAATGAAGGTAATTATTATAATATTTAATAATAATAATAAACTAATTATAACTTGTTATTTGCATTTTATGTTCCATTTCGAAATCAATTTTTTTTATAAAGATACTAATATTTATCAGTTAAATTTTATAAATATATTCATATAATAAAATAATAATAATAATCGTAATTATCATAAAGAATTCTATTATTATAGATTACTATTTCATATTACAGAAAAGTGTTTTACGTGAGCATATTATTTACTTCAACTTTCTAAAATCATTCATTGATGCATTTGATGCTCAATTTAATCTAAAAACACTTCAGCATTACTTAAATTTTTACAATATTATTGTAAAATTAATTTTTATTCCTATTAAACACTATCAAGTTTGGAAGCTAGAGTTATCTTACTGATAATGAAATACATAATTTTTTCATCCGCATACATACACATGGAGTCAGTGAGTAACGAACCATTATTATATGATCTACAATGCTCATTTTATTAAAAGTTATTGCATTAATGTACATATATGTAATGTACATTGTACGACGTTTTATATCATACAATCAAAATTTCATTCCTTCGATACACTTAACAATAATTGTGATTCATATAGCACTGACTTTAAAATGCTGATGTATTTCGAAAATAGAAAAAGTAGAAAACGAAGTTAAATTTGAATTATAGTAAATTTGTCCCTATAAACGTGTCAAGAATGACGCAGTATTAGAAAATGCATATGCTTGATAGTATTGAAAATAGAAAGCATCTTTAGAACAGAGAAATAAATATCGACGAAATCTTTTTACGATTATTTACAGTATACAAGTATATGTACAAGATGTAGACAAACATTTTTACTTTGTAAAAAGAAAAGAAAATAAAATATGACGGAATAGAATTCTGTACGAATACAAAAGTTTTTACACTTAGTCACTCTATGCCAAGTGACTATGACGATATACATAATTGTTGATTCTAATATAATTTATAAATGATACTGCTTTAGGTAAGAGCGTATATTTTAAATTATTTGACAAATTTATTCAAGTTTCTTTACAATTATGATGGTTGAAATTGTTAAACAACATTTTGTTAAAAAATTCGCAACTTTTAATGCATTGCAGATATCAAGGTGAACTAAACTGTTTAAAGTATTATACATACAAGTATACCGTATAATAAGAAAAATTCCTGAAATTTAGACTCTAAGTAAATTATTGAAAATTAGAATTCAATTTTAGTTTCACCACAATATTTACAATTTTTATATTACGATTTTTTACAAGTATATTTAAACTTACGTTTACATTGTAACACTAATAAATCTCAATAATTTCTCAAACAAACAATGGAATATATTTTTTTTATTCTTTAAAATAATCTTAAAATTCGTATGAAAAATTTTGTAACATAATCATTTGACATAGAATGGTTTTATTAAAACATTTAATTTTTTAACTTGAAACAAAAACTATTAAAATTAATAATCAATTATCTTTTTAATTTATTAGCCTTATTTTATGTTCATGCGCAATGTTCTGTACTAAATGAAATACAAACGATATAATATCTCAATTTAAAAAGCTTAACTATATTAATGATAACATTAAGTTATCAGGAATTATATATGACGGTATAATTTCATTTGCAAAACTCTTGCGGATTAAAACTCTATTAAAAAATTGGCATTCGTATAGTATATCAAATGATACTGCAAATACATTATAGACATACATACATGTTCATTAAAGGTAAGATAAAACAACTTGACTTAATATAATATATAGAAGAAGTTTAGTTCATTATTAAATGGAAGGCAGACAAACATCCTTCCATTGTTCCATTAATATTCATAATTATATAAAAAAACTTTTACAGTTACATTATCAACTTTGCATACAGTTTTACTTTTCTATTCACATAAAACGTGTGCAAGTATTGCCACAAAATCTCTCATAAATCTCCGTCTATGTGTGCTCTGAAGTGTTTTTCTACTTTTTATAATTTCAACAATGATCACATTATGTACTATTACACTATAGATTTTTGTTATTACAAAATAATACTGCTTCGAACGAAAATTATTCGTGTATCTAGTTAAAGAAAAAAAGTTTATATCTACGGTAAATGTATATTAGTATATTCATCGATACATTTGTTATGCAGCAAAAATTCATTACTGTCTGAGAATATAAGAAAGAATAATGTTTTTATATCTTTTCCGTTTTTAAATTAATTATTAATAGATATAAATATGAAATAAAGAAAATTGCAACAAAAACGCTGAAATCACACATAGATGGAAATAAGTGAAAAATAAGCTGGTCAAATATTTATAAAGTATTAATTAGTAGTTGATAACTGATATGCCATGCCTATAGTTAATTGGCTAGCTCATATATCACGTTTCAAATTCAAATTACCAAGTTAGGAGCCATAGCTTTGGAGAATTCAATAAACTCTATCATACTAAATTCTAGTCATTATAATTAAGATTTAATTTCAAAATTTTACACATAGAGAATGAATATTTACAAAATGCTAGCAACAGTGAAAAAGTAATATTCTAAGTTAATGTTCAGTAATTTGTGATAAAAGTCACACAGTTACGGTCAACAGTTGCGTTTTTCTTATTTTTTTTTTTTTTTTTGTTTTCATAGATACCTGCAATTAGAGACTTATAGAGAACTCGTGCTACATTTATAAAATAAATACAAAATTTCACAATAAAAATTGTGCTGAATTTTAAATAACAATTTAAAGAGGATTAATGAAATCATTACATACGCTATGTATTTGTTACAACTTTTAGACAATATATTGGACAATAATTGATGAAATTTATACCTGGCATTACTCATTCGGTATACCTGTTTGTTTCATATAGAGTTTTGAAATATAATTTATTTATTTGTTCTTTATAAAAAAAAAAGGATTTTCTTTTATCAATTACTTGCCATATACTAACAATGTACATGTTTCTTAGAGTATAATATTATTGATTCTTTGTATTTCAAAAGAATTGAAAAAACCCGCATTTATTTACAATTTTGCAGTCTAGTATGAAAACTTGTATTTTATGTTACATACTGTTTTAAAATATTATACATTAGTCTTTGTATGCAATCCATAAATTTTTAGATGTATATTATTAAAATATTGACTGTAGAAAATGTTTTATAATATATACTAGGCCAATGAAGATACTGTAAAATCTTATACAATTATGAACAAATTTAATGCACTTTCCAGGTTGAAAGACAACAACATTTACAACTTCTAAAAGCTAAAAAACTTGGCAACAGCAATACAAAACTTTTTCTTGTGACATTAGTTTGCGATGTGCAAAATATTTTTAGAATTGCTACTTTTAAATGTAATTTTTCTTACCAAATTTTTTTCATTCGATTTTCTTTAAAAATCTTGTAAGCTAACTTTGCAGACCCATATGTGAAGGTGTCTTATACTTAAAAATTTTATCAATCATATTAGTCTACGTACGCTATAGTTATTTATTTAAAATTATCTATATAATTAAATTTTTTCAAATAAAAATTGCTAAATGAAGATAAAATTAATATAAATATTAATGGCAACTGTATATGCGAATAGAAATTTAGAATTATATTTCTTACAAAATCATTTGGCTGTAAAATATTATCCATAATGTTATAATTCTTTGTCAATTTATGATTATTTTATAAAATGATGTATGGATTGCATGCAGACTAGGATTAAAAAGTTATGGCTTAATTATATTACAATTTATAATGTAGCACGAACGCCTCTATTAGTCTGCATTGTTGAGCATCGATCGGAGTAGTTTGCTAAATGTGTCTATTAAATTCATACATCTTTCTAAAAGTACTGTCTAAGGAAGAATTTAAATGTAATACACGCATGTAATTCTACAGGTTTCATTGCAGTTACTCGCTACGTTCTTTTCTGATGTATAATATGTGTATATATTTACATATTGTATTATTACAAATGAAATATTTCAGTTGATTGTGACTATCTTCGTTTAAATAGTTTTGAACACATAATTATAAAAATATTTTTTTACCTCAACTTTGATCATTTTAATTACCGTAATTGAACGCATTTCTAATGCCTCCTTTAATTTAATCTATTTATTGTGAATTTTTGATTTTTTTCTATTAAATCACCATCAAGAAATAATGTTATTGTACAAGAAAAATTGGAATGTGGGCTACATTATGTAATAATAATGTTAAGACACGTTACAGAAATATTACCTGACATGTATCTAAATCTTCAAATTCTGCAAAGTAGATTTTAAAAAGACAAGTAATTCAAGATAAATTTTTACTATTTTCAAATTAAAGCTTTTTACTACGTTTACTATATTACATAATTATTTTGTTATTTCCATATGGAAGAAATATTCTAAGATATATTTAACTTAACTTACTATGTATTATACAAATTGATATATTTATGTAAAGATATAAATTTTTATTGCATTAAAACATTTAGTAGATAACTATATGTATACTATATGTTACATAGTAGAAACTTTCTAAGA